TCTATCTATCTATCTATCTATCTATCTATCTATCTATCTATCATCTATCTATCTGTATCTCAGGGGACTAAAGCACCTGCTTAGGCAGGCTTAGGCAAACACAGGGACTATGGTTTGATCCCTGACACCACATGCCATGCCAGGCCTTCCCCCAGGGTGGGATGAGCCAGCCACAGAGTCTGAGAGTCTGGGCGTGGTGGAACACCCCTATAATTCCAGTGATGGGGAGGCTGAAAACAGGAAGGAGTCTGAGCTGCACAGTAAGACCATGTAACAACCAAATACATTAAAGTGAAATGAGTATGTATGTATCTGAGTATGTTAGAGATTTACCAATGTTAGCGTTTTGTGTTTTGGATCCTTTTCACTGAAGCACTTGAAATTCCTTAAAATCGACTGTGTTGCTAAATGTGGAATTATTTTCCTCAAATTAGGATTGGTTTATTTCCATGTAATAAAGAAAATTTTGTTACTTTTTGATAAATTTCAGGTAAATATCTATTTTGCTGCATGTTTCTAAGACAATTCAGAAAGAAAGTCAGGCTTAGCCCTGTTCAACACAGAGGCTTGGCCAGAAATACTAGTTGGCAAGTCATTGTGTATGTGCACAGTGCCTTTTGTTCCTTCAAGTAGCACTTTATGTGCCTTTTCTTAATTCATCTTTAGTATATAGACATTACCATATATATATTCCGAGGCTATTGCAACTCTTTCTCTCATTCTTTACCTTGCAATTTTTATCATTGATTCCCTTTGGGGCCAGTGTGTATGTTTGTGCAGATGGGGCACCATGTACACAGCTAGTCCAATATTTGCATGCATTTACTAATAGCTGTGGGAGCAGTCAAAATTTATTATTTTAGTATTGTACATGAGGTTTCTTGCACTAAATGCTTAATTTCTGCATATTGCTATATCAGAAGACTTCATAGGATAAAAGAACTGGTTTTAATGGCAGTAGTATTTCTGTAATTTTCTCCATGCCTGATATTTCCTGCATTCAATATTCTAATCTTAAAGTGTTTGGTATACACAGTTTGATTAACTTTATGTCATCTAAAATTTTCTTTTAGTGTTGATAAAGTAGATGATGAAGATGATGAGGATTTAATGGTGAACAAAACATGGGTCTTGGCACCAAAAATTCATGAAGGAGACATAACCCAAATTCTCAACTCATTGCTTCAAGGTTACGACAATAAACTTCGCCCAGATATAGGAGGTAAGTTAGAATTATTGTTTGGAAATATTGTCGATTTTGAAATATGTCTTCTCTTGTGTTATTTAATTATTTATCTCATTTTTTGAGTATTAAATGTATGTCAGAGACCATGTTGGGTTTGAGGAATATTAATTGAACTGGTCAGTGTCAGAAAAGTTCAAAATCTAAAGTAAATCCAAAGACAACTATATGCAATGTATTAATTATTGTTATTGTCTTACTAACTTGTTTTGAGTTATACCCATTTACCTATAAAAGCTTCTGTTTTGTATAGCTGAGTAATACTCCGCTGTGTAAAAATATATCTTCTATATACATTCCTCAGTGATGGGCATTTGGGTTGTTTCCAAGATTTAGTTAGGCCAATTTTCTATACTATAAACAAGGGTGAACATATATTGCTGTGGTATAATATTTTCAGTTCACTTGAAAAATACCTAGGAGAGGAATGGCTGGGTTGAATGGGACTTTTGATCTTAGCTTTTAGAGGACTCTCCACACTGGTTTCCAAGGTGATTGTACCAGTCTTCACTCTCACCAACAATGGAGAAGCGTTCTTTTCTCAGCACAGCCCCTCTAGCATTTGTTTGACTTGATGATAGCCATTCTTTCTGAGATAAGGTGGAAACACAGTGTTGTTTTAGTTTGCATTTCTTCAATGATGTTGTTAAACATTTTTTTTCATATGCTCATTTGCCATCTTATTTCTTCATATGTGAAGTGTATATTCATCTTAGATGCCCATTTTTGGATTAGGTTTTTGAATTTGGGGGCCTTGAGTTTTTAAAAATTCTTTATATGTTCTAGATAGGAGTCCTTTGTCTGAGGGACAGTTGGATATAAATTTTAACCAATTAGTGAGTTTTCTTTTTACTCTGTTGGTGATTTCTTTTCATTGCAGAAAATCTTGAAACAGATAAAATCCCAATTGTTGATTCTTTGAAGTATTTCCCCTGCAGTCTGGTTTTTGTTTATGAACTCTCTACCTACCCTTATATCTTTAAGATTTCTAACCACTTTCTTCTCCAGAAGATTTAGTGTTTCAGTATTTTTTTTTCTGGGCAGGCTCAGCCCACCCTCTGCACAGGGCTGGCAGGACAAGTGGTGCTGGGGAATGATCAGCCCCGTGCTGCTGCATAAACTTGTCTAGGCAGGTTCTTTATTCCACTGAGCTTTCTTGCCAGCCCCTCGTTTTAATATTTAATCTTTGATCCTTTTTTCTTTTAATATATTTTAGTACATGGTCTACATGGTCTCCCTACACAGGTTGCACTCATAGTGATTCTCCTCTTTTCAGACTCCCAAACGCTGGGATTACAGGAGCGGGCTACAACTCCTATTCTTGGTCATTGTCTGAGTGTGCCCCGGGGGCAGGGATCAAAGCTGGTCCCCGTGCCTGCCTAAGCAGTCACTTCATTCTGTTGAACTATCTGGCTGGCCCTCCATTTTGACTGTAATTTAGTGCATGGTGCTAGACATGGTTGTAATTTTAGTCTTTGGCATATGGAAAGCCAGTTTTTTCAGCATAATTTTTTTTAAGAGAGGCTATCTTTCTTCCAGTGAACATGTTTGGTCCCTTTGTCATAGATAAGGTTGGTGACTGTGTTTGCAATTGAGTTTATATCTTCTAATCTGTTCTATTAATCATCAGGCTTTTTTTTTTCCCCAGTGCTATGCAGATTTTATCATAGCAGGTTTGTAGTATGATTTCAAATCAGGGATTGTGATACATCCTGGCTTTCTTTGGTGGTCCAGAATTCCTTTCAATATTCTGGTCTCTTCTGGTTCTAGATGATATATATTTTTTTAATTTTAGGAAAGGACCTACAGGGTGTTCAGGGTATCGTTACTAGATCAGACTCATAGTGATCCAGCTGTTTACAGCCTCCAAAGTGTTGGGATTACAGGTATACTCACCATGGTATTGAAACTGTCTCATTGCTATTGTTTCAAAATAAAATTATTTTTAAAAATGGTCCTTCATTTATATCCACCTTTTTTGTTTAGTTTTGTTAGAGATGGGTATTCCATTGCCATTTAAATATTGTAGGTGCATAAATTCAGCAAAATAATCCAAACAGTCCAATCGTCCATAATAGTAGTGAGTAATCCTTAGGATTGGCAGTGTCAGAAGTTGGTGACGTGAGCCTTTTACAATTCAATATATTAATATGGCTTTACTTTTTTTTATATTTTCATTTTTTTGTTTTTTTCCCCATAATTTTATTGATAAAAAATAGCAATGAGACAGTTTCAAATCAAATCGGTAGGACAGTTTCAATAATTAACACACTGCATACCTTCTTCCTAGTGGTTAATTGCTGTACAAAATGCAGACATGATATCCTAACACCATTAGAACAAATCCCTCCATTCATTAAGAGAATGTAACTATATATCTATCCTAACCACTTTGAATACACAGATACAAAATGGACATTCATCTGTATACCCTTTTTTGGTTAAGTTT